ACCATCAGCTTTGGCATATAAAATAAAACCTATTTTTCATATTGCCTCTCTGGGGTTAAATGAGTAGATCATCATTCATGATGGAAAAACATCTTCTTACAGGCTGCAAAATCATTCTCACTTCCCTCCTTTCCTTTGGGACTCTACCATTGGGGTGACTGGTCTGGGCTTATTATTTCCATATTAAAGATGAGAACCCAGAGATTCAAAGCCTCAGAGACCTGGCAAAGGCAGCAAAGCTAGGACTGAATCTCAGTTCTGTCAGGTTCCAAATTCCTTGATCATTTTTAATTACCCTGATTGCTTTTTCAACTCAACCTGAACCCACCCAAGTGGCCCTGATGCACACAGTTCTGGGAGTCAAACTCCAAAGAAATACCAGAATTTATTTGGGGCTTCTCAGGACTCTGCCAGCTTTGTTACCCAGTGTTTTCAGCTTTGATGTCACAGTGACTAAACAAAATAGACTGGCATCAGCCTTCTAAGGAAGAGGCCCTTGGGTAGCGACGATTCCTCCTCCACTCAGTTGGTTGCTCTTCCCCAGAACAGGTGTTCTTTTTGAAACTGTGGCTGCTTCTCTGGAAGTATAGTTAACATCACAAACCCTGGATCTTATTTTGTGATCTTGACTTGGCAATCACCATGATTTGTGAAAACGGGAAATGCTCGTGGGGGAAAATAATGCCTGGGTCTTTGTGACAAAGTACAAAAGCTCCCTTGCAGACCTCTCACAACAGTGCTACGGTGGGACGAGGAAACCTCTCCTACAATGTCTGAATGTCCTGCATGTGCTGTGGTGTCTGTATCTCAGACACAGGAGGCTCTGGGTTTGCATAGGAGAAGCTTGTAACAGAGAAGAGACGGGTACTGTACTATTTGCTGGGGCTGCCATACCAGAGTACCACAGACTGGGTGACTTGAACAAGAAAAATGTATTTCCTCACCCTTCAGGGGGGTAGAAGCCCAAGATCAAGGTGTTGGTAAGGTTGGTTTCTTCTCAGGCCTCTCCCTTTGGCTCGTAGATGGCTGCCTCCACCCTGTGTCCTTATATCTCCTGTTCTTATGACACCAGTCGTAATGGATTAGGGCCCATTCTAATGACCTCATTTTCACTTAAAATTACCTCTTTAATGACCCTTCCTCCAAATACAGTCATATTCGGAGGTCACAAATATGACCTCCGAATGTGACTTCCATAGATGAACTTGTGGGGGAGGGCACGTTTCAGTCCATCACAGGTACCACACTTGAAAAAGGTAAAAATCTCTCCCGAGTGATATTTTATCTTCTTAAAAGCTGAAAGTCCTCCATCTCTGCTTTAATTAACTTTTTACTTTATTACACTACTTTTTAAACTAAACTCTCCTTTCCACTCTTGCCCCACCATAAGCAAGGGTGTCATTCTGTCTTGTATCGTTGTTAACTATGTCTTTCTGAGTAGCCTGTGAGAGCCTCAGGGCCGGCAGGACTGTCCTTAGGTTACTTCTCTATGCCTCCACCACAGGCTTTCTGGGAAGGAGACACACAGCCAGCCTTTAATATAATTCACTCGACAAACACTGATGCTTACTCTGCAGCAGGCTCTGTGCAAGCTGCTGGGCCTTATGTTAATGGAAAAGAAGTAAATGTGGTCAATACCACTCAAAAGTAAAACCCATATCGGACTAGGAAGGACCATGCCCAGATCTGTGTCATTCAAAGCTCCCTCCAGCAGCAGTATGGTGGAGGGAAGGGAGGGCTCAAGGAGGACCTGCCACAGGGTCCAGGCAATGGGTAAGGCTGTGTGCTTCGGGGTAAGTCTACATACCAGTGTTTATTATCCATTCTCCTATCTTCAGTGTTTTTGGGACACTGGGCAAATTGCCTCATTTTTCTGAACCTCAGTTTTAAACATTTTAAAACATAGACTCAAGTAAAGGGTTCCTTCACATTTTGGTTACAAAGGCTTCTAAAGTTGAGGGTTTGTGTCTCCTGGCCTTGCAGAAGGGCCTTGCAGAAGGGCCTCTCCCATCATCCCTCTCCTCCCCACACCTCACCAGAATTTGTTCTACAGCAGTGAAGTGACTCTCCTGGAGCCTGAGACAGGTCAGGTCAGCGACAGTAGATGCACCAGGCTGACCACACAGACGGGGGAGGGCAGAGGCCGCCAGCAGTTTTGCTCACTCAGCTGTATTCTAGGATGTCTCAATGTCCACACTGAACTAGAAGGAACCACTAAAAAGTGCCTATTCCCCAAAAGAAGGATTGCATCTTGCTGGACATTTGTACTTTTCAGCAGCATTAAAGGAAGTTTCTTTTCTTGCCAGTCCTTCTCCTGGTCCTCATTATATAATTCACATTTTTCCATGCTTTTCCTTCCTCGTGTATCAGACTTGTCTTCCTTTTTTTCTGTGCATGTGGCATATTCCCTATGTGACTCTTTTTTGTATTATGTCCTTGGACAACTCTGCAAGGAGAGGGATACTTTTCCTACTTTCTCACTATTTGACCCAAGGGCACAGGGTGAGTTTGAATATGGCTGTTAAGAGGCTGCCAAGAGTCTAAACCCCATCCAGAAAGTGATGTATTCCCTTCCTGCAACAAAACAATCCACACTGGAGTGGAGTTGGGAAGGTGTTGGTGGGAGATGTCAGTACATATGCATCAGTTGTACCTCAAAACTCTGATCTGTGTTTAATGTTTACATCCTCCCCTGCCCCCTTCTTGAGGCTGGCGCTTTTTCAGTGCTGAGTATTTCCAGTATATAAATGAAATACCTCATTTCCTGCATTTCAACCATATCTTCAAAGGCAAAACTCCTCTCATTTTAAACAAATAGTGATGAACATGCTACACAGAGCTCTCTTAAACAGAGAGTGACAGCTCGTATGACCTTTAGTGTTATGAAAGTGGCTTTGACAAATCTCATTTGTCTGTTCTTTCCTTGGGGCTGAGAGTGAAGACAGTTCCGAGGCTCAGGCTAACTCTTGGGTAATAAAACAGTAGAAGATGAGACTTTGAAAATGCATGTATAATAATCTAGGAACATGCATACCATCACACTTCTCTGCAAAAGCAATTTATTTCAATTGAATAATAAATGCATTCCTCAGCATTTCTATATAAAAGATCTTCACATGTTAATCATGAATTACCTAGATCTTCTTAGGAATGTCACAGTAACCTTATCATATGCATGCATGCTGGTATACATGTACCTTTTTACACACACTTACAGACATAGATTTTTATAAACCTAGTGCCCTCAGGTGCTTAGCTACTGCCCAAACTGGCTAGTTTGAGTTATAATTCCACATGAAGCTACATTTCATGAGTCTGCAGGTGCTATTTCTACTGTCATTACTTTGGAGTAATGACACTCATGCAGGGTTAATGAGTTTTTAATAATGGCATAAACACCTGCAGACTCACCACCCAAAACCATGGGTATGATTGACACAATTTATATCTAACCATGTGGCTGTATCTGCATCCCCTGCCTTTTCCCCACTGGATATAACTATCAGTCTGAACCCTAAGCTCATCGTGCTCTTCCTTTCCTTTTTATATGATTTGATGACATTTATTTGCAGCCTTATATGGTATTTTAGGTTATCTGTGTTTAATTTAGAATATTTTGAGACTTTTTTTTTGCACTTAATGTTTTAGTGTCGCTACAGATCAACTCTTTTGACTGCTTGTGTGGATACACCACAGTTTATCTTCCACTTTCCGTTTGATGGGCATTTGGGTTGTTTCCCAGCTTTGCTATTGCGAACAGTACAGCAGCTATGAGCATTATTACACATGTCCTTTCTTGTACAAGTGCAAGAATGGAATTCTCGAGCACAGGCTATGTGAAATGTTCAGCTTCAGGAGACAATGACAATGTTTAGTATTTTATGCAATCATCCCACACACATATATGCACGTGAATGTTTGAGATTGCTCAAATGGACAGTTGCTACACTTAAGTGATAAAAATCAATATTTTCTACTTGGTATTTCAACCAGAAAAAGTCAAAAGAAAAAACACACATTTCTTCCACAAGCCTGACATTACATAAATAGACATAAAATGGACCATCTTGAATCATGCCTGGTAAACTCAGACAAACCCAAACAATACCATTGCAGTAGAAATTATACCTTTCATGGAACAGTTTCAGCTAATGTCCATGGAAAGATTAGCTTCTAAATAGTACAAAATGCTGAGTTAAGAGTCCATGTGTAGACACTAATGCCTGGATGTACACCAGACCTTCCCTAAACTCTTCTAAATGTGGGAATTTGTGTTTTTATTATCTGAAAATAGACTTTTCTTGGTCAAAAAATTCACATATTTTCTTTTTAACTGAGAGAGGTACAGATATTTTTTCAAGCCAAACATTAGTGCAATTAGCAGCTTGTCAATAATCAGCAGCAAACACGGTTATCTGAAATTTTACTGTTCTTTCACCAGCCTGTCATCCTCTAAACTCTAGTCAGTGTTTTGATTGAACAATTACTCTTGTTCAGGAACTGCTTATCTCTGGAACAAAGCACACCCCTTTGCATTTTTAAATTGTCAACTTTTCTTTTTTCACTTATTATTTTTTATTAAATTTATTGGGGTGACACTGATTAATAAAATTATATGTTTCAGGTGTACAATTCTATAGCACATCATCTCTTTATTGTTTTGTGTGTGTTCACCACCCCAAGTCAAGTCTCTTTCCATCACCATTTTCCCCTCTTTGACCCTCTTCTATGTGCCCCCACCCCCTTTCCTTCTGGTAACATCATACTGTTGTCTGTGTCTATGACTGTTTTGTTTGTTTAATCCTTTCACCTTTTTCACCCAGTCCCCCAAACCCCTCCCCTCTGACAACTGTCAGTCTGTTCTCTGTATCTAGGAGTAAGTTTCTATTTTGCTTTTTGGGTGAAACAAACTGGCTAGTTTGAGTTATAATTCCACATGAAGCTACATTTCATGAGAGTAGTGTTTTCTGGACTGAAGGAAAAAAGGGTGAACAACTCACTTTCACGTAGAGCTGCTGGAATTCCTCGAGGTTCAGCCTCCCGCTTGGACAGTCCTTAAGGAACCCTTTGTACCACTGCTTGAGCTCATGCTCATTAAACTCCGTGCTCTTCACCAGGTCCTCCATCACTTCAGGGGCCAGTTTGCTGTTCTGTTTCCCCATTCTGCCTGGAGAAAAGCAAATTAACACAATCAGTGCCATGGTTGGGATTATTTCGACTTGGTTAGGAGCCAAGCTGCAGTTCTGAGCAATTCTTTGATGAGAACACCCTTCTGGGTGTCTGATCAAAGTCTCTTCAAGTCCACCTCCTTCTATTTGGTATTCTAGAACAGAGATAAGCACAAAACACTCTTCTCACAGTCCAAAGGGTGGTAGAGCTCATTCCCCTCCATCATGTGCCATCTTTTACATGGCACTGATGACCAAATGGGAGGGCAACTGTTCCTTTTTATGCTACTAATGTAAAGTCTGTGAAGACTGTTTATATTTTCCTTCTACAAATTAAGTGTATTAGCATTTGCTGCCCAGGTACCTAATTCTGCATTTAGTTTGTGGGGATATTGAGATTACTGACAAGAACAATAAAAAGGCTTTATAGCCAAATGATCAAAAACTGGCTCAGAAAATTTGATCCGCAATGGTGGGGAGTCTTAGTTTTCTTTTTCTTTTTTCAAATGGAAACATCTCATTTTTATTAGTCAAATCAAGTCTCTATTTCTTTTCATCTTCAGACACATCCTACATTGTTTTTAGTGATGACCAACTCTTGGTGGCTTTCTATAAAATTAGTTGGTGAATTTCAGTTGATATAATCCCATTCTTTTATTATTGCTGCTAGTTAGTAAAAACAATAGTCCGTAAAATAACATTACCTATATCAATTAGGTACCAGGTTGTGTGACCATTATCACAGTAGAATGTAGATGAACAGAGTATAGGTTTGAAGTCATGCCTGATTTTTACTTCTGATTTGGCCATTTACCTTGTCTGTTACTTATGACAATATTAACTGCTTTATCTTCAGTTTCTTCCTTAATAAAGCATATATAATAACAAAACTCTTTCAGATTCACTGTGAGGGCTAATTGAGAAATAGGTAGGTAAACAAAGATTAAAAAATACTCCAATATTAAAATAGTTGTATTAACACAGGACAATTAAAGATAAATTTTTTAAATTTCACTTTAGCATCATTTAATAATTAAAAAAGAATGAAAACAAAACAAATTACTCACAGGTTGATTTAAAAAGTCAAAGTAAGCCCTGGCTGGCATAGCTCAGTGGATTGAGCATGGGCTGCAAACCAAAGGGTTGCAGGTTTGATTCCCAGTCAGGGCATATGCCTGGGTTGTGGGCCAGGTCCCCAGTGGGGCCCATGTGAGAAGCAACCACACACTGATGTTTCTTTCCCTCACTTTCTCCCTCCCTTCCCATCTCTAAAAATAAATAAATAAAATCTTTAAAAAAATTTTTTAAAAAAAGTCAAAGTAACCTTGAAAATCTAAGGGACCACCAGAATAAGGAAAATACTACAAGATCTTCAAAATCTGGTTAGAGAAAACTGAACTAGATTTTAAAGAACTTACACAAGTGGACCTAGTGCTTCATTCAATGTGCTTGAGACAAATTCTCTCTAAGGCTCTAGGCAGGTCTATACTTGCAATAGCCTAGAAAAGGTAATCTCATCCCATACTTTTTTTTTTTTTTACCTTCTTCTCAAACAGATTCCACACCCACTGTCAATAACCTGCCCTAACATTAAACAATTATCCCATTGAAATGTAACCAAGCCACTACTTCCAGGGAAGGCCTCACCCTCGGCACTATCCCAAATACACAGCCCTGGGAAAAGATCCCAGGAAGATGGCCATTTGTGTTCCAGGCTCTTCTGTTTGAGAAACAACCCGAGGATCAGCAACTATGCCCTTTTCTCATGGAGCTTCTCTACTAATTTTTGTTCTTAATTTCAAGTTCCAAGTCTCTTATTAGCAACTGTCTCTTAATTACAAGTTACTGTGGGATTCTACAGCTGGATATGGAAATCAAGTAGGTACTCAGATGTCGTGCTTAATTAATCTGAGTAAGAAAACTGTAATTAATGATTATCCTGATAATCAAAAGATATACAAGTATTACCAAAACTTTCAGTACTTCACTTTGTTCTTTTCAGTAGAGAATTACAAATTTTCATTATTGAACTAGAATAACAGATACTGAATACTGAGTGTTAGCCAACACTCAATGGGGTAGGCAAGGTGTCAAGCACTTCATGAACTTGCCCAAGACCCTATGACAACTCAGGAATAGGAATTAGGACAGCCCTCTCAAGATCATACAAATAACGCACGGTAGAACTAAAATTTAAGCCTAGCTCTACAAGACACCCAGGCACAATCACAGACAGAAAGAGAAGAGAAGATGTGTTAGGAGAAGGAACAGGAGTGACCACAGGAAGATGTGAAAGGCTGAATTAGTGTCTCTTGGCAATGAAAAAAATGACGAAAGATCAGTCACTTTGCCAGGACCTTGTTTGGAAAATGCAGTTAGATTTACCAAAACCACAAGCTCAGAAGTGAGTCGGTTTTAATAATGGGAAAATGGATTAGGGGTTATTTAAAACCTCCTCCTGCAAATGCCTCCAGAAGGTCAAAGTGTCAGCTTCTCCCTTAGGCAAGAAAACTTGAATTCTCCATGGATCATTTATGATTCTTTAAACTGTTCCAGCTGCCTGGGGAGAAGCTGGTCTCTTGCACACACAGGGAACACTGTCAGGACCATGAATCATAGTTCTGAAGACTCAAATGCATAACTTCATGCTTCTTTATTATACCTCATGCTTAGCACCATCACTAGGGTATGTGTGGCAATGGTGAATCATGCAGAAAATCAAGTTCTGAACTGACTCGAAGTGGCACTGACAACACCCTCATCAGGACTTGCCTGGATTAATGATCAGCCTCCACACCAGGCTCTCTGACTCCAACCCACCTTTTTCTCCTTGAATGAATTTCTGAAATATAAACGTCACCATCTAATCATCTCCCTAAAACCCTCAACAGTTCTCCATTGTCTACACAATTTAACCCTGGCTCCCTACCACTGCAGGTCCTGCCTACTTACCTGTCTTTTTGCTTCCTCTGCCAGCCAGCTATTACAGGTCCCTGGGCTTACATGCTTCCACAGGTCCATGCCTTGCACATGCTGTTCTCTTTTCTTAGAATGACATGCCCTTTGCATGCTCAGCAAAGTGTTTCTTCTTTAAGTGGCTTCAGCTCACATGCCACCTCCTCTTTGAAACCTCCACAGACTTTCCAAGGCCAACACAGGTATCTTTTCTCCTAGGCATCCCCCTTACCTGGCAAGAGCTTCCATGATCATTCTTTATTTCTCCACTAAATTATTAGTTTCTTGAGAGAGAGGACTGTCTATTTATATTTGCATCCTTGGTACCTCATTCTACGTGCTCCACTGATACTATTTGAGGAATGCATGAATGAGGGGGACTGAGCCATTACGAAGGTGCTCAAGGACCTTGTCATTGATCTTTATCAGGTTATGGTATTTGGTATGGTTTTTCTAGTCTTGTAATAATGTATATATGAGGAAAATCAATGAAACCCTAAGTATAAATATAAAATGCAAGCAGCACATGGCAGGAATGTTTTATTTAACTGTAGAGAAACTAGTCTGTCCTCCTGGAGGTTGTTTCCTTGTCTGTCTTCATAAGATTTTGACACCTTGAAGGCAGGGCCCCTGCCTTTTATCTCAGTACCCTCAGTTTTTGGCATACAGGTAGTGCTTAGTACTGTTTGATAAATGAACGAAACAGCATCTATGGGCTAACGCTCCCTACCTGTACTCCATTTATCCTGGGGTTAAACAGCATTCTTTCTTTCACTTGAATTCAAGAATACAGAAAGAATAAAATGAAAGTAAAGTTCACCACATTCCCAGTGAAAATATTTCATGACATAGTGTGAGGGAGATTTAACCCAGTTCTGTTCCTAGTTGATACTGTGATCTTGGGTAAGATTCTTTCCTTCCCTCTTGTTCAGTTTCCCTCTTTGTTAAGTGAGTGAGTTGGACCAGATGATCTTTAAGGCCCTTCTAAACCACTCTCCCCACCCCACCCCCGCCCTGCTGCATTCACTGATTTGCAACATGTTTTGTGAATAGAGACATTTGAGCCACAGAATTCAAATTGCCTGTCTCAAAGAGTTAGTACATGTAGATTTTTTATATGAGAACCTGTCGGTGCTTGAGTGTTTGTGACCTTAGAAAGAAAGTAGGGGGCAGGGTTTTTTGTTTGGTTGGTTGATTTTGTTTTTGGTTTTGTTTTGTTTTTAGTGCATTATCTTTAAGCTTGAGTTCCAGCTACAAGGTAAAAACCAGCCCATCTGCAAACCATGTAATTTCTCACTGTTTGAGTTACAATAGAGAGGCACTCAGTATTGGGCAAAAAATGGGACTGGCGGAGGGGTACTGGTGGGCAGGAGAACCCCACCAGTGACTGGCCCTCAAATGAAAGCCCAGACCCCCTTAAATGCAGTAAAGAGTAAATTTTTATTTACCGTACTTTACAAAAGGCCTTTGTGCAACATTTGCCCATATAATAATGCAGTATGAAAGAGATAACAATCATTCCTTCTTTACTGATGAGGAGTTCAAAGGACAAAGAGATTAAGTAATTTATCCTAGCTCAAGCAGCTGGTCAAACACTTAGTATAGAATGAAAGAATTCCCTGGAGCCCCACTGGTTTCTAATACAGACTGTCTGTCATCTCTTGTCTGGATTTTGCAACCACCTTCTAACTGGCTTCATCCACTTCCTCCCCTGTCTTGATAATGGGATTCCAAAACAGAAGAGGCAGAGCACAGAAGAGTGCCTGTAGGAGAAAGCTAGAAGACTTTCTGGAAGAGGAGAAAGGCCCACTAGGGGAGCTGAGATCCACCCAAGAGCATATTTTGTCCATAAAACCTTTTGCTCTTAAAAAGGATTCAAATAGAATACATTTGTGTGAGTGTGTGTTGCCCCTGAGTCGCCTCTGACCCATGCTAAGTCCAGCTTCCCAGGGCACAGCAGGGCCTGCTGCATGTGATCCGGCACGTAGAACGTTAGGTCCAGCTTCTTCCAGGTGATCTGGCTATCAGCCTGGAGAGATTCATG